AAGTGTACCTCTGGTGCAAATTACTGACCTCTGTCATCATTTTAGGTGGGGGAACTTGCACAATCGGTGGCTGACTAAATACTTTTTTGCCCCACTGTATGTGGGTTGTTTGGTGAAAAAAATTAAGCTGTTATAGCCTCCAGTTATGCTACTCTAAACTTCCTTTGAGTTTCAGGGACTGTCTCTTTATGGACAGTGGCGACTGACCTTTGATCGTTCTCTAAGGCTGGTGCACCAATCAGCATCCAGGAAACAGCCACCTGCCCAGTCGCTGGGAACAGTGGTTTCTTCCCGTTCTCTCTTCTCCGTGCTGGAGGGAGTACATGTCACAATGTGCTGTCAAAGAAATAATCCTCGTAAGGTCTTATGTGTTTAATATTTCTCTAGAACAAACTCTTTTCCCACCAGCTTGCTCTTCATGCCAGTTTGAGGACGCAGCAGAGACAAACCACCCAGGTTTCAGCTGAAAGGTAGCTCTCTTACTTATTTTAAAAACACTTGCTCTCCAAGCACACAGGAGTGTTTGGAATAATTTTGTCAGCCCACGGGCTCTTTGTTACTGAGCTCGTAATTAATATGCATAATATCACTAACTTTTCAGCCAGAATGAGCAGTCTGTGCTATACCCGGCGTGTAAGGAACCTGTGGGCTCCAGCACTTGCCTCTTGGGCTCTTAAGGCGACGATCCCGCACAAACCTGTGTACCAGCTAAAGAAAGTAATGGTATTGTCCAGCTTCTCATTTACAGTGAAGACATTCAGGAGATCCTGTGACCTGTATCATTTAGTATCAGATTGTGTGTGTGCAGCGTGGAAAATGATGGAAACGAATGATGTTGGGTCAGAAATTTTGAAGACAACAAGGTAACCAAGTTTTTAGATCCAATTAAAATCAAAGATCCTCTGGAAAAGAGCAGAATTCTTGAAACAGGGTTTATTAAACCGAGTCATATGAACAGCAAGACAACACATAGCAAAGCTAAGTGATAACTAAACCTCACTGCACATTTGACATGCAATCTCTGAGACATTATTATTATCCTCTACACTCCTGCATTACACTTAGATCTATTTGTTGATGGCATCTTGATTCTCGTATCTTCTTTCTAACCAAAATATGCTCTTATTTATTTATTTTTCTGTCACACCCTCCACACCAGATGTTCTTAGATCATCACCACTACCTTCTATATTTGCCAAACACCACACAAACCTCCCTATTTCATTTATTATGTGTTTGTGTGATTTATTTATCTGGTTTTCATCCCAGCTCTGTTATTATTAATAGTATTAATATTAGTTTAAATTATTATTGCTATTATTAATTTGTATATATTATAATTATGATCTAGTTTATTTTATGCTCCAGATCCAATTCATCCTTTTTGCACTTGTATTCAATTCAATCAGCTCCATTTTCAACTTATTTAGCTTTTAATCTTTTATTAGGCTGATAAGTAAGGGATCTACTATCCCCATTTATTCCTATTTTATTCTTCTCTTCTAGTCAGTTTTGCCCCAGACTCTTTCAGTCTCTCTGTATTTTTGCTTAACAAATATGATCTTTCAAATTAACTTCCTTGAATAGTGATAATACTGTTTTCCAGCCAAGTAGCTATTTTCCTGTGTTCAACAATTCTTAATTTTTATGCAAACCTATTTCTTTTCACTACTTTGTTGCTCCTCTCCACACACCTTAAGGATGATTTCTTAATTTCTTTCTTTATTTTTATGTGGGATGCTCCTCCTGACACAACCCCAAACGGATTTGCGTCTCTGGGCGTCTTTCACTTGTTAGGCAAGTGTGTAAAACCACCACAATTTGGAGCCACTCAAGTGGGGCAGTGACCTTAACTAAAAGCTTCTTATGAAATGATGAATAAAAAAATAAGATAATAATATTGAATGCTAGCTGCTTTTATTGCTGTTGTTGTTGTTGTTGTTGTTAAAACTCCTTTTGTCAAGTATATCTGTCTATAACTGTCATATATGTCCCCACGCGTTGTTTAATAAGTCTACACCTGTTGAATTTGGTTACACATAAGGGTTAAGATATAAAGGATTGCCTCGTTACTAATTTTTAATTGTTACTTGATTATTATCGTTGTTACGGTAATAAGTAAACAATCACATTATGAACAAACGTGATCGAAATAACTCTCTCTGACTCTGTTTGCATGAAGATATGCATGAAGATATATATATATATATATATATATATATATATATATATATATATAGAGAGAGAGAGAGAGAGAGAGAGAGAAGATTAAAAACAATAAGTGAGCTGTCATTTTTAGTAAATAAAGACGTCCAGTTATGTAATAATATGATCTAAGTTTAAATGTTTGAATAAGAAATCCATGTTAAGGAGACATCTGTCGTTTCAAGTCATACTACTTTTAAGAGCCCTTATTTTGAAATCCCGCGCGTTCCTTAAAGAGTTCTTCCTCTCTGAGGAGCGGCCGGGAAAGAGCTCAACAACTGTGAGTGAATTTACAACATAAACAGGTTTTGTGGGTCGTGCTGCTGAGCCTGGTCCAGGGGTGAGCTGTGACCGACAGTCTCACAGAGCATTTAACCTAAAACACTGAGCTAATGAAAAACGTGGTGATTTTAAGAAAACATTAGGGCTATACCTTCCAAAAGTACACCTTGTCGCCTTTTCTTAACAACTTTTCTTTGACTTCGAAATGTCATCGAGGTCAAGGAAAGCGAGTAGGATGGTACATAAGGGAGTAGGGAAAAGAGAGCTGAGAATCCTAACGACCTTAAAATGGTCTCCGTGAAGCTAACCGCCCCCTATCTGCGGCTTAAACTTTCTTGCGCTCCTGCACTAAGTTTTATGGTAGCGCTTCTCCTTCGTTGCTTATTTTTGTTCAACAGACTAAAGAAAAAGGATTGACACGTGTGTGTGTGTGTGTGTGTGTGTGTGTGTGTGTGTGTGTGTGTGTGTGTGTGTGTGTGTGAATGAAGAAATGAAAATGAGGATATGAAGAGAATATGTTTTTTAATTTTTCATTAGATTTACTTCTATTGGAAATTCAGTCAAATCTTCTTGAAGTTGAGAAGAAATTTCCTTTAATTTCTCTGGAATCTTGCGGCATCTTTGTGAATGTTGGCACACAGGTAGAGTAATCAACTGAGAATTTCATGTCAACTATTATGTCCTTTAATTTCTCCAGAGTCATTGAGTGCGTGGAGCTGAAGCTCTGCACACATACAGTGTGGGTGTCCCACAAGAGGAATTAGTTGAAACTTTTTTGTTAATTGGTAATTGTTCTTCATAATTCTGGGTCACTCAGTAAGATTAACTTAAAATGATTAAGTAATGAGAATAATTTAAGGGCTGATCCATTTTTAAATACCTTCGGAAACTTACTAAACAGATTTAGATCATTCTTCCAGTCAAGTCAGGGTTAGCCTTGAAAATTCTGCATTTGTGAATACAAATATTTCAGTTAAAAGCAAATTGGTAGTATTCATTGAACAGATTCCAATCTTGATTATTTTCACAGTTGTTTCACATCCTGGGGCAGGATGAGTCCCCTGGCCTGCAACCATAAGTACTGCATTGTAATACACTAAAATAAAAGATTTCCCAACTCACTATCACAGAAAATACAACCATGTACATCCATTTTTTTAAACACCATTTGAAAAGTTTTTTTTTTTTTTCTGTTTGGTCACCTGACTCCATTCAAAATCTTTAAGAATGCAGCGATTCATTAGAAACCTTCCCAAGCTACATGCACTACGAGCTTGGCTACGTAATGGTGTCACGGCAGCTGTCAATGACGTGGGTCTGCCGTAGTGAAACTACAATGTTCAGGAAATGGACTAGAAAAAGCAATTCTTATGTACTTAATACTAAATACACGTCAACGTTTGACAGGTACCACCGTAGCATTGGTTACCAATGTCATTCACTTTACCTGTCAGTGGTTCTAGTCATCTGGATGATACATTTGGGGATAATAAAAAAGATAAAACTGGATTTTAACTAATGTCAATGCTAGGCAATAATCCAGATCGTAGTGTAAAGTTTGGAAACAGGTGGGAACTGGTCCCAGTGCCTTTCTTTTCTGTTTACCCTCTCCTTTACGAATCCTGTGCTTTATCCAATCAGACGATGGCAGAGGACAAACCGTGGGCTCTGATCTCAGAGGTGGGCGAGCAGGGTTTCATCGAAGAGGTCACTGACATAATAAAACAACACTTCAACATAATCTGCCTCAGAGACTTTCTACAAAACCCCCAGCAGCACGGCCCAAAGATCCAGGCCATACTGATGTGGAACACCTTCCCTGCAGCCGAGCCGTCGCTGCTCAGCTCGCTTCCATCACTAAAAGTGGTCGCCAATGGAGGAGTGGGCATCGACCACCTGGATGTGCCGTACATTACCAGTCTCGGGGTGAAGGTGGCCAACACGCCCGGCGTGGTGAGTGTCGCCACTGCAGATATGGCTATGGGTCTGCTGCTGGCATCCGCAAGAAAGATAGTTGAAGGTGAGGTCAAAGGTTCAAATCTGATCCCAGGGTGGAGCAGTTTGAGTAAAACCCAAAGATATTTAAACTGGAAATATGGCAATGTTTCTCATAGGTCACCAAATAGCTGTTGACCCCAAGACTACCAGTATACCACAAAGCCTGGTGGGAGTTGAAGTCACCGGGTCGACTCTGGGGATCATCGGAATGGGACACATCGGATACAAAATTGCTCAGAGAAGCAAAGGGTTTGATATGAAGATCCTGTATCACAACAGACACAGAAGGTAAGCACCAATTCATCGAACAGATCCAAAAAATCCTGCTAAAGTGACTTGAATAGATACACAGTACTTCACTACTGCCAGAAGTATTCACTCACCCAATGCAAAACTCAGATGTAGCGTTGTAATAGGGATGGGTATTGATAAGATTTTCACGATTCCGATTCCATTTTCGATTCTGTTTAACGATTCGATTCTTTATCGATTCTCTATCGATTTTTAAAAAAGGAGAACACTAAGGTCGATTAGCTTAGAACTTTGTTTTATATCTTCTCTTTGAACAAGATAGAAATTTAGGAGTAACATGGCCTTACAAACCCAACAGTGAGATCTTAAGAGATCCAGCCTAGGCTCTTCAATGGGGTGTCACAGGGTCCCCAGGAAAAAAAAATTGTAAATGTAAAATAATAAAATAAATATTCTTCTGTAGCAATAACAAAGTATAAATAAATTATTCTGTAGCAATTACACAAGAATATCCAGTAATGTCCCTGCCTACAATTAAACACATTCACTTACTGAACTTTCGTCTATCCTGGCCTGAAAGGAGAGCTACCGTAGACTGCAGCGAGAACTGCCAGCATCTGAGCCAGACTCTGTCTGTCTCATCATGGTCACCTAAATGCACAGTAATGGCAGGTTTTGTAATAAGGCAGATCGCGCTAACATAATATGCACTGTTAGTTGATTATTTACCTGCCGCATTAACGGGAGAGGACGTGCAAACGTTACCGCTGCTGCTGGGTTGAGATTCACGAGTCCGGAGCGGAATTAAAAACACAACATTCATTTAAGGTCATCGCGTGTTTTGTGAGCAAATGCTTTTGCATATCGTAGTGTTTCTGTCCCGCTTAAAGAAATCTGACATTAATAAATGTGGCAGCATTAACTGTACATTTGTGATTGCTTTTTTTTTTTGTGCTGTTCAGGAGCGTTGAAGATGAGCAGTCAGTGGGGGCGAGTTACTGTGAGAACATGGATGACCTGCTGAGGGAGGCCGACTTTGTTGTGCTCGTTGTCAACCTTTCCCCTGAAACCAAAGGCCTGATCAGCCACAGGGAGCTGTCCCTCATGAAACCCACTGCAACCCTGGTCAACGTCAGCAGAGTGAGGATACTGTGACTGCGAGTCTTCACCAGTCTCGGAGTTTCAGCCTGATTTTGTGACTTTTCATGTTTCAGGTCTGGTTGTTGATCAGGATGCTTTAGTCAAAGCTCTGCAGTCTGGAGAAATTCGAGCAGCAGCTTTAGATGTGACTCATCCTGAACCTTTACCCAGGTAATATGTCTCTGAAGACACCCACGCTCTGCAGCCAGAGCGGTACATCACATAATAATAATGATGAACTCTTACATGTGAGGCACTCAAGGTTAATGGCTTCTTGCGTACAGTGTAAACAGACTCTTATTAGAACAAAACAGGGCCTTTAAGTTGTGTTTTAAGCCATGCAGTGCTGGTTTCAGTGTGACGCTTGAAGAATCTTACATTTAATATTTTTTCAAGATGTACAGTTAGGTCTATTATTTGTCAGACAAAGACAAAATCTTTGTAATTTTCCCTCTGTTCACCACCCAGTGGATTTTAAATCAAACAGTCTGATTAAGACGCAGACTTTCAGCTTTAATTCAAGGGGTTCAACAGAAGTAATAGATTAACTCTTTAGGAATTACAGACATGTTTATATATACATTTACACATTTTTTAGACACTCAAAATTAATTGGAAAAACTAAAAACAAAAGCTAAATATAAGGACGGGTTTCATCAGTTGTTTAAAAATCCTCTGCTGTCAATGACTTACTGAAGTCTAGAACCAATGAGTGTCACCAGATGCTGTGTTTTCTACTCTGCCAGAGCTTTACTGCATCCGCCTTCTTTTTCAGCTTGTTTGTGGGTCTCTCTTCTTTCAGTTTTGTCTTCACTATCTGAAAAGGATCTTTTATTGGGTTGAGATTATGTGACTGACTTGGCCATTGAATAGTATTCCATTTTTTTGCCTTGAGAAATTCATGAGAGTATTTTTTCATTGTAGATTGTGACAATATTCCACCTACCTCCCTGAGAGTGTTCGTGATTTGGTTAGGTATTAACAATGGAAATGATTCTGTCATCATGCACTTTTGTTGTCTTCTGTGGTGTTTCAGTCTGAGCCGTTTTTCCTCTCTCTCTCTGATGTGTTCATTTTGTTTGGAGAGGAAAATATCCCCCCTTTACCAGCCTGTGCATGCAGTCACACAAAATGGGATGAAAATTAAAGGAAGCATGAATGAACATCAGCTGTCTCCTGATGCTTTTCTTGCTGTGTTCTGTGCAGGGATCACCCTCTCCTCAGCCTGCCTAATGTACTCATCACACCCCACGTTGGCACCTACACCTATGCTACAATAAAACGGACGGTTCAGTGCATGGTGGATAACGCCGTAGCAGCTGTGAATGGCCTACCTGTTCCCAATGAAGTCAAGTTGAAATGATTTTAATTAATATTGCCAAGAATTTTTTCTATTTTTTTCTGTCCCTCCTATAAAAGAAGGTGAGCTGGTGTTAGTTAGAGATTTATTTTTGGCTCTTTGGTTTTATTGTGGACACTTGTTGGGCAACAAACTGTAAAAATGTAGGTTTTTGTGAAGAATAGGACAATATTCCTGCTATAGGATAAACTGTGTTGAATCTCTGACTTCCTCTAAGAAAACTTAATGACTGTTGAAACTTTAATTCGTTTGAGGAAAAACTGTTTCATGTTCACGTTAGCAAAAAACTTGCAATAAAAGTCAAAGAACGAAAGAAAAGTTGCAGCTTGAATGCAACCACTCTTAGTTTATTAATCGAGTTTTTTTTTTTAAAAACTTCTTATTTTTACATGTCACATGTTTTTAAAGTATGTTGATGTCATTTCAGTGGAAAATATGTGTAATTATTATTATAATTCTTACTCATTATTATTACTCACTTCCTACTAACACAAGGCCTTTTAGGTGGGTGGAAAGTCTTTTTGGGGAAGTTGCAAGGCTGATATGTGACTGCTTGTCCTTATGAGTGACCATCTTTTCCTGTTTGGAACCAGGCTGATAACTCTGACCATGGTGCACTTATGCCCTGGACTGCTGGCCAGAATTACATCTCCAGCTTTGAAAGAAAAATAAATCTTGTGTACCCTATTTTCCGTGTGAATGTGGTGGTTTTCTACTGGTCACTATTGGAACTCATTTCTTTCTTTTACTGAGGCCATTGTGTTGCCTACTTTTTAATTCAATTCAATTTTTATAACTTAATGTTAAAATTATATAGCGCCAAATCACAACAACCGTTGCCTCAAGGTGCTTTATATTGTAAGGTAAAGACCCTACAATGAAAAAAAGAAAGAAAACAGAGAAAACCCCAACAAGCATATGGCCCCCATATGTGCAAGTGCTTTGGTGACAGTGGGAAGGAAGAACTCCTTTTCAACAAGAAGAATAACCAGGCTCGGGGAGGGGCAGCTCCCTTAATCCACAACTGGTTGGGATTAAGGGAGGAAGACTGAATAAAGACACGCTGTGGACGAGAGCCAGAGATTAATAATAATTAAATAATTCAATGTAGAGAGGTGTATAAACAGAATACGAGTGAAAAAGTTGACTGAAGAAGAAAAACTCAGTGCATAATGGGAATCCCCCAGCAGTTTAGACCTACTGCAGCATAACTGCAACCCTAAAATTTGCTGGGCCGCTAGTGGTAATAATGTAATAAGGTTGCAGAAAAGCAACCTTATTACAAGCAGAAAAATGTTTCTCATAGGTCACCAAATAGCTGTTGACCCCAAGACTACCAGTATAGCACAAAACCCGATGGGAGTCGAAGTCACCGGGTCGACTCTGGGGATCATCGGAATGGGACACATCGGATACAGAATTGCTCGGAGAAGCAAAGGGTTTGATATGAAGATCCTGTATCACAACAGAAACAGAAGGTAAGCACAGTTTGGACAGTTTATGAGTTTATGCGACAGAAAATTCTGTAATAACTGATCGAAAATATCCTGCTATAGTGAAATGAATACACACTATTCAAAAGAATTAAAGGAACACTTTAACACAAAATTAAATCAGATCTCAGTGTGAAGCACAGGGCGCCCACCCTGGACCTGCCAATTCTGGTATTCTATTGCATATGTTAACCAGGCTCCAGTGAGCACAGGGCCAGGATGTCGGGCCCTCAGAACCCCCTAATGAAGTCTGTTTCTGATTGTTTAGTCAGAGACATTCTCTCCAGTGGCCTGCTGGAGGTTATTTTATAGCTCAGGCAATGCTTATCAGGCTCCTCCTTGCACTAAGAGGCCAATACCAGTCCTGCTGATGAGTTAAGGACTTTCCAGCTCTCCTACAGTAACTGCCTGTCTCCTGGAAGCTCCTTCATGCTCTTGAGACTGTGCTGGAAGCAAATCTTCTGGCAAGTATTGGCGTGCCATGCTAGAGGACTTGGACTACTAGTGCAGCCTTTGTAGGGTCCAGGCAACATGATACCAGTAGTGACACTGAGCCTAGCCAAATGCAAAACTAGGGACAAAACAGTTTGAAAAGAAGAAGAGAGAAAAATGTCACTAGCCTCCGCCTGTAAAACCAATTCCTGCTTTAAGGTTTGTCTCATTGTTGCCACTTTAGTGCACCTGGTGTTAATTTTTATCATCACCAAAGCATTTGATACTGATTAAACTCCCTCTGCTACTCAACTGATCAATATACCAGAAATTTAACTGACTTGATGCTGTTTAAAATTATATTAAATATCCCAATTTTAAATCTGACGTTAATACAGTGTTTATTGTACATTTGTGATTATTTTGTGTGTGTGTATTGTTCAGGAGAGTTGAAGATGAGCAGTCAGTGGGGGCGAGTTACTGTGAAAGCATGGATGACCTGCTGAGGGAGGCCGACTTTGTTGTGCTCGTTGTCAACCTTTCCCCTGAAACCAAAGGCCTGACCAGCCACAGGGAGCTGTCCCTCATGAAACCCACTGCAACCCTGGTCAACGTCAGCAGAGATGCGAGTCCTCACCAGTCTCTGTGCTTTCAGCCTGATTTTGTGACTTTTCATGTTTCAGGTCTGGTTGTTGATCAGGATGCTTTAGTCAAAGCTCTGCAGTCTGGAGAAATTCGAGCAGCAGCTTTAGATGTGACTCATCCTGAACCTTTACCCAGGTAATATGTCTCTGAAGACACCCACGCTCTGCAGCCAGAGCGGTACATCACATAATAATAATGATGAACTCTTACATGTGGGGTACTCAGGGTTAATGGCTTCTTGCATACAGTGTAAACAGAATCATTAAGTTGTGTTTTAAATGATGCTCTGCTTGTTTCAGACACATTAAAAAAGTTTAAAAAGCTGCTTGAAGACCCTTACATTGAAATCTTCTTCAGTTGGTTTCATAATTTGTTTACCACATCTGACTTTAAAGATTTCAAATCTTGTCTCGTCTGACCATAGAACAGTTTTTCACTTTGCCTCAGTTCAGTTTAAATTGGCTTTAGCCCCGAGAAGCCATTATTTTAATTGGGGAGATGTGGGCTGGAAGTAGTTCACTTTCAAAATAAAAGCATGCAGACACCGTGAAACTCGCAGAATAAAAGATTAAAATTACTTCCACCCTGTGACAGATGTAGGGATATCCATGATAGAATCAGGCCTGCTTTTAACGCCTTGCCCACAGATGACGGACATCCTGTATCGATTTTTCAGCCTTGTCTGTTGCGCCCAGAGATTCCTACAGATTCTCAGAATCTTCATAAAGTTTACATTCAGGAACATTATTCTAAAATTGTTCCGGAATTTGTAAACTTGATTGTTGACCCTCTGGCTATCTTTACTTCTGAGACACTCGGCCACTCTGGTGCTCTTTTTATGCCCAACCATGTTACTGACCTGTTGCAAACTGACTAATTAAAGCTGTTTCTCTTTAGTACCTTACATGTCTGATTGTTATGCAATTTTCATCTTCTACACCACCTTTTATCTTACTTTAAGCACAACAAGCTGGAGAGGAATATATTAACCCTTTACCACATCCTTGAAGGCATCCTTCATTTAAAGAGAAATAAAAATAGAATAAAAATGAAAGGAAGCGTGAATGAACATCAGCTGACTCCTGATGCTTCTGTGAAGCATGTATATATATTTATATGTGCAATTCTGCCGAGTGTAAATAAATTATGTATGTTTTTACCACACATACAATAGTACATATAAGGACAGAAGGAGGGACGGACGGATGGGTGGATGGATCTATGGATGTATGTATCGATAGATAAATGAACACAGCACAGTTGAGGCAACAGAGTTGAGGATCTCTAACGCGCAGTAAATCTTTGCAGAGCTACAGTCTGACCGTTAACATGCCTGATCGTAATAGAAACACATAAAACACCACTTTAAATGACAGTAAGTAAAAAAAAACATTTGGAGCTTTAAACAAATCTGTGGATGCTTGTTAAAGAAGTCTACTTAAAACTATTAAAAAACAAACAAAGCTTCACTGTAACATTTAACTTGGGCATCCCCGCGTGGTACTGAAACCGTCATCAACAGTCGACACAGAGCCGAGCAGGTCCACAACGCGAGGAATGAAAATAGAAGCGAAAGTTGCCTTGGGATTGTAATTTAGACGTCTAACTTTTAATTTAGTTTGTTTATCTGAAGGCTTGTAGGGTCGTGTGTGCCTGCTGGCTGAACAGCACCATGTTTATCTCCTCGCAGAGCTCAGCACCCTCCTTCAGAGATTTTACCCTCGTCATGGTGAGTGACGGACGAAAATAATCCTCCCATCAGTTCCTGCTTCATGCTTTCATATGAGACTCGTGTAATCACCAGGGAAAAACAAAAGCTTCACTTCTGTGATTTTCATCCAAGAAACTGGCTGTGTATAAAAATACCTTTAATTCCTACACGTGTAATGCAAAAATCCTGTTAAACCCCTTGGATTCAAGCTGGGTGTTTGCGCCACGGTTACAGCCTTATTGATTTAAAGTCCACTGTGGAGGGACGCAGAGGCACAGTCTTGAGCCAGCCCTTATTTCTTTGTATTTTCAGAGCAGTCTTTTTGTGTGTCAAGCCACTAAATATTTACCTGTGAATCATTCAAGCTCATAAAAGACACCTAACTCAAGGGATGAATGAATGACACATGACACTACGCGCACCCTGTCACGATAATGCATGGCAACGTTTATTCCCATTGTTTTAGTTAAATCTATGGAAAATGTTAAAGAATAATAGTACAAATTTGTTTTTGCCTGCTGTATTTCCATGTATGTTTGAACAATTTGTTGCACCTGTTTTCCATTGTTATTGCAAAATATAAAGAAATAAGGGGTGACTTTAAACTTGCACAGTGCAATAAAACTACAAAAAAAAATGCAACTGTCCTAAAATTTGAAAAAAAACTTAGAGGCCTAGTAAAAACTGGACCTCTCTAACGCATGTTTTTCTTTATCAGATGTTTTGCACAACTAAAATGTGCTCAGGAAAAGGAAAAAGTGATTAAAACGATTCTCGCCTTCTCTTTACTTTTGTTACTTCTCCTCTCCCTCTTTCCTCCTCCAGCCTGCGGTGGCTGTAGGTAACGTGGGTCAGCTGGCCGTGGATCTCATCGTGTCCACTCTGAACATGAGTAGGGTGGGCCACATACACACTGACTGTCTCATCCCGATGGCCGGGAACAACCCGTATGCCAGCAGCAAAGAAGATGGCGAGGAGCTGCACACTCCTGCTGAAGGTACAGTTGGGTCACTGCTGGTGCCTGTCTAACACAGAGATGTCGACATTTCTGATCAGAAATTAAAAACAAAACAACTCAGAAATGTTCCCTTCAAGTCTACTGTCTCTTTCCTGCTGTCCGCTGGGATGTCCGCTATCCCAACTGGGATCTTCTGATTGTTTTTAATCAGCACTGTCTTATTAGTTGACATTAGTCCTGTTGTTGTCAACCATCAGTCAGGTGATCAGCAGTTTTGTCTGCAGCTGCTGTGAAGTCAAAAGAAAAGTAACCCTCTGTAATCCACAGTTTACGCAGCAGCAGAACTGAAGCTGGCGGTCCTTCAGATCAGAGCACCAATTCTTCAGGTAACAATCAGTCATCAGTATGACGTCAGTTCATTCTCTGAGTTCCCTTCATACTGTATGCCTATTGTTGTTTTCTTTTGTTCTACCTTTGTTTAAACTGCAGTCAAAGACCAAAAAGTTTCGTCAGATGCTCGTGTCCTGGATCAAATCCAGCGGCTTCTCCAGGACTGTCGTCCTCTCCAGCAGCCACGCCTACCAGAGAGATGACCAGCAGCTGCAGGGGTAAGTACAATTGCAACGCCATCGCCTTATTTCTTCACTTTTGCATTTTTCAATCATGTCTGCTCAACAAACACGTGTCTCTGCTAGCACTCCTTTGAGGTACCTGGTCACGCCGTCCCTGCTGAAAGGGAGCGCGGATGCTTTGAAGGAGCTGGGCTGGAGGGAAATGGAGCGAGTCCCGGCCTTCCCCGGACTCACAGACGGAAACACGGAACCACGACTCTGCATCCCCGGAGGAGGCATCACCAAAGGACTTTACACAGACAGGTAGAGACAGGAGACCTGCAGGTAGACAAAAGATCATCAGAAACACAGGGAGCTGGTTTTAAAATCATTTTTATTTTTGTGTGTAAGAGCATTGGTCACTGTTACAGTTTAATAATTATTCCAATATAAATCACAATAAAGGCAGCTGTAGGTGTCTGCTGTGTGTTCAGACACTTTTTCAGTATGTTGAAACGCCTCAGCAAGACTTCCTTGTTAATATTATTTGTGTTTGTGTGATCACGTGTGCTGCACAGTTGCAAAGAGGACCTCCCGCTGGCTGTGCTGCTGCTCTTCTGTTCAGAAGGTGACAACATCCCCGATGCCTTCGCTCTGGCGAACCACCTCAACGACTGGCTCCATCTGCTGGACGATAATGTAAGTGACACCACGGCGCAGCATTAAAGCAACCTAAAGTTTCACAGGAGTGGTAATGTCACTGTGAGGAGAATCATTGTTCTCCAATTCTCCTTTCAGAGCAAACAGCCCAACAAATGGAAGATCCCGACTTCCTGGAGTCTCCTGTTTGGAAACGGCATCCCGCCTGCACTGTTCTGATATGTATAGTGTTTTAGTTTTTTACCCTCTATAATTTGTGTTTAATGCAAGACGTTTGCTCCACATATTGTCGTTTTCAGACCTCAGCAAACTCTCGACTGGGGTCAAACCCGGTGACTGATGGCAGCGCTGACATATAGAAAGATGGAAATTGCCCACATAAATCTCCTCCGTCTTGGAAATGTATCTTAAATAACTCAGACATAACAAAATAAAATGTACAAATACAGGATGTGACCCAAACATTCACTTCTGGACTGCTATTTCCTGGTTTAAAAAAATGTTTTTCTAATAAACAGTTGCTACAGGAATGTGGTGTGAATTCATCTTGATTGTGGATCACTGGATTAAGCCTCCACCCACTTAACTGAAAGTGGTTGGCCAGGCTCCATGCTGTATTCCTGGCAGCCCCACCTCTCTGTAATTTGATTCTTTTCTACAACCTATAATGGTAACAACAGCACAACGCTCCGATTCAAGCCGTTTTGTGGTTTTCCTTTCAGTCTGACTCATTTTCTGTGTGTAGACCACTTGTGGGAAAGGAATGTCCTGCTGACAGCAGAGATTTTTTTTAAGGGAGAGCAATAAAAAAAAGTCCTGGATCTGAATAATTTGAAAGAAACAAGTAAATTTGAACTGAGGACATTAAATAAAATGGTGTATAAGCAGTTGAGGATTCCTAGTATAGTTTTGTGTCTTGGATTTGTTTTCAGTTTCATTTTCACACTTTTGTTTGCTCATTTCAGTTCAGTTTTTACTGCTAATGATTTTTCAAGTTATTACTTTTAATTATATCTTTTTAAATTAATATGGGGGTATTCATCAGGGGCAGATTTAAGGAGTTCAAAACATTTTTTGTAATAAAAGCACTCTACTAAGTGCCATTTAGGCATAAATAAGGTATTAAATATGTACACACAAGCCACTTAATGTTTATTTGATAGGCATAATTGACCACATTGAAGAAGAGAAAAAATAATATTGTTTTGGTTATTTTTGTTAGGGTACAAAAGATACTCACCTGTTTTTGTAGTTATACCTTTTCAATTGCTCTAATAATCGAATCAATCAATCACACGGCAGCAACTCAGTGCATTTAAGCATGTAGA